AACTCTGTGAGCTGACTTCCATCCACACTCAAAAAATCTAATATATAAAGCCAATAAGCGATCGCCACACAAAACAAAGCAAAATGACAGCTGCAAATTTGCCAATCATAGTGGCACTCGCACCTCTCCGACCTCTAATCGGACGATGTTCTGGCGAAAATGGCTTCTATATAACCCACTCCAAATGAAGAATACTGGTCCATGATCCAATTTGCGGGGCACACAAGTGAAAGTAGACTGAATAAGTGGATTCAAGGAATGCAAATCGATGCAGATTTATAGCTCCTCAAAGTCCAAGCCCGTGCAATCTGTCTCGCCCTCGAAGGTGATGGTACCAACCTCAGAGGCACGCAAGGTTCGTGACCACAAAGAGGAATACAATGATACTTGCCCATGCTGTTGATTTAGCAGCTAGCATACTCTCACAAGCATATCACAACAACAACACTGGAATGGCACAGTCTGTAAGCAAACCCAAACACGACTCAAAAAGCCTCTCAGGAACAAACACCTTCTCGGGAAATGGTCAGATCCCGCACGTGCCTTGCCACGCTCTCGAAACTTCAACTCTGGCCTCACTCCCTACATGCTTTACATGAAAAAGCAGCGAGCTGTGCCAAGAACACCAACTCAGTGGATGATCGGAACAGAAAGCAAGTCTTGAATGGCTAGCACTCAAGAAATTGTTAATCTGTTAATCAAGAGAAAGCACGTGGCAGACCAGTGGCAGCTGAAAGCGTCATCATTTCATTTCACTTCCAGTCTACATGATCAATGGGATGGGTACATGGCATTTGTGCAAGTCCTACCCTTTGTTCATTCAAATCCAAATGCCGTTCAAGCATTGGAAATAGCACATTCATGTATATAAATTCAAGGCTTCCAGATTGAAGTGGAGACAGCTGAAACTTTTCGCCGTTGCGTCACGCACTCTTGGGCCTGTGAGGCCCTAGCCTATCGAAGACAATGCAGTCCCGGCTGGACGGAAGATCGCTCGGAGAGCTCAAAGAGATGCGTTAGTTGCTCAGGCTTTGCCCAGCGCCGCGAAGTCGCGCTCACTTGGGTGAAACTTGCTGGAAACGATAGACGCAAAATGTTCTTCGATGGTCAAGCCTTCTGATTGGAAATTGAACTCATTTGAACTGACTGTGTGAGGACCATTCTTGGCTTCAAGCCAAATGGGCCCGGATTTATTATGTTTTTTGGGCAGGACATGTTGGGAATGTTTTTGAACTTCGGTGCTGGGATGGCTGGAGATGCAAATGTTGTTTCAGGAGCAGCGCTTGTGAACCTCGGCGATTCTCGGAGCGCTGATCTTAGCATCCAAGTCTTATGTCAAACGGCAAAAGCCTGGTGGCCCTTAGCATCCACCGTTGTGGGGTCGTGCTGGTGTTGTGTCTACATGCTTCATACCACTGGAACAAGTGGTGAAACATACCAAGAATACTATAATTATAAGTACTTTAACACATTCAAAACGTGTTGATTTAGTTATATATATAATTGTTTTTCCGGTGGCAGGCGCAGCATTGTCCTCGGATACCTCATAAAGGTATGTTCCGTTTCCATGGTTCCTTCCATCATTAAAGCCTGCCCCTCCCTTCTTTACAACCAGCACTCACGCCTCATGCAAGAACTCGTCCATTTTGTTGTCGCAAGCTGTTCAACGAAAGAAAGCTAGGAATAAAAAGATCCGAGTTACACTGGAGGTATGAAGCCCAGGGTCAGTACAGGATATTCTCCCAGGACTGACCCTGTCTCAGCCAAAACAGGTGGATAAATTTGAAGGCTAGAGGGTCAAAATAAGGCCACCAAAAAAAGAATCCCTGACCAATGCAGATATGATAGATAATTTTTGGAAGGCCTGAGGTTAGCAAGCTAGACGAATAGGATCGACGAAGCGGCTCCTCAAAAGTAGATTCTGGTCGACGAACGAGGTAAAACGAAACGATCCCAGCCTCAAGTTTTTTTTCCAACGCTCTGTATGCTCTGTGGTGGTCTGACGTCTAAGAAAACTAAGGATTGTTGCAGACGTTTGCAAACCTTAGAAGGTTGGTTTGTTTTCGGGCAGGTTCTGTATTTTTCTGCTGCGTTCCATATTTTGCCTGCAGGGCGAAGACTTGTACAAAAAGCTCAAGATCCAATTTTCCAAAGAGATGTTCATGGGGACAGCTGCTGCGAAGCCCGGGAAGGTGGATCAGCGCCAGCAGGAAACTGTTTTTTCTCTCCACATTTCAGGTGGCCAGTGCAAAGACGTGAATTGTTGAAGCAATTCAATTCAACCACCAATTCCAGTCTCAAGGTTTTCTTGATTTTCTTTGCTGTTCAATCTGGTTTCTTTCATTCTTCTCTCTAACCTATCTCTTTTCTATCTTTTCTTTTCTTTTCTACTCCTACTACCGAGTGGATAAAGTTCTAGAAAGTGTAATACGTTATATAATTCTGGATTTTTTTAAAATGCACTGACCCTGAAATATCACCCCCAAAAAAATTACAGTATCCACTCCTTACTTGGGTGGATTTTTTTGAGAGATAGACCCCCTGGATAGGTTGCTGGCAGGCTGGCGCACAGATATAGTCCAGGCACTGACCTCACCAATTTTATCCACTCAGTACGGCCCCCTATACTGGAGCAGCCACATGACCCCGCATACAAGCAGAAGAGCAAGGCTGTGCACAAAAAATTGCCGGTTGCAACAGAAACAGCACGACGGAGGGCGCACAATGTACAATTTGTGAGAATATCACCGAGCCTTCTTGTTCCTAATAGCTTCTTGCTCCTAGTAGTACGGCCAGGAGCCCCTAGCAGCGATGCCCTTGTTCCTAGGTTTCAGGAAAGATATTCTCAACTTGCATTCGCGGTCACTTGGTCGAAAGCAACTTAGAGTGCCACAAAAGTGGGAAGCTCTGATGGTTGCACTCAGACCTGCGATGACAATGGCAAGTTGGCGCTAGGCGTGCTAGGCTTGCTTAGGCTTAAGTTCACAGTTTCGTTGAGGAACAAATTTGCACCTTAAAATCTACTACGCCGCTCCTTTCCACATCATCACAAACTTGAGAGGAGGGAGACACGAAAGGTAGGAGAGCGGGAAGAGAAGCGAACGCGAGAGGCGCGAACGCAGGTGGCACTCACGAAGACGTGTACCGACGGGGGAATTGATTTTGTGGGGGGGGAGGGGGGGCTGTATTGAGAAATCAATTCCAAGGGGGCGGGGGGGGTGGGCCTATTGAAAAATCAATTCCAGGGGCGGGGGGGGGTTGAATTGAGCAATCAATTATTCGACCCGGAAGAGCCGACACTTGCTTCGCAAGACAAACTCAAGGTATCCCTAAAGGGCTACCTTTCGTGATCATTCCAATTTACCACAAATACAAAAGCACCACAGAGTCCCATGAATCACAAGAAACCTCGACAAAACACCAAACATCACCGCACATCAGGAACTGAGAAATCATACCGGCAGATTCTAGTACAGGTATTCCACTGCAAATCAGTAATTTGTGATGTCATGTGGAGAAGGACAAACAACCAAGTAGAGCTTCATTGTTTCAAAGGCCACATGACCACGCCTCAGCACGCCATGTCAGTCTGTCTTCTTCTTGTTTCTCTAACTCTAACAAATCTCTCCTGTGGTTCGCTCTTCTCTAGCAATCTCTAAACTTCCTGGATATACGTTGTTTGTCTTAAACGTCTTTAAACGTCGTTATGTTTCTGCATGTTCGTTGAGATGCATCTGATATTCTATACTTTTCTCCAATCTTCACCTCGCGCAACCACAATTCGCATAAGGTAACTGCAACTATTTCAGCCCCTATCAGTGTGTGGTGTGTGTGTGTACTGCTCCCACCTCACCCACTACAAACACACCACCTTCACATTGTCTTGTAATGCGAAGACCGGATTAATAGCCCCCCCCACGTGGAAGGTCTAGAAGGTCGAGCAAGTCTGAGGTACCATTCATGAGGTCCACCTCCCCTGAATAGTCTGCTCAGGGAGCAATCGTAGTCGCAGTCGTCGTCGGTGGTAGGTAGTAGGTAGTAGGTAGTAGGTAGTGGTAGTCGTAGTCGTAGTCGTCTTCGTAGTAGTAGTAGTAGTAGTAGTAGTAGTAGTAGTAGTGGTAGTGGTAGTGGTAGTGGTAGTGGTAGTGGTAGTGGTAGTGGTAGTGGTAGTGGTAGTGGTAGTGGTAGTGGTAGTGGTAGTGGTAGTGGTAGTGGTAGTAGTCGTCGTCGTAGTGGTAGTGGTCGTGGTCGTGGTCGTGGAGGTGGTGGTGCTCGTAGTCGTAGTAGTAGTAGTAGTAGTAGTAGTAGTCGTAGTCGTAGTGGTAGTCGTAGTGGTAGTGGTAGTGGTAGTGGTAGTCGTAGTAGTAGTCGTAGTAGTAGTAGTAGTAGTCGTAGTAGTAGTAGTAGTAGTAGTAGTGGTAGTGGTAGTGGTAGTGGTAGTAGTAGTAGTAGTAGTAGTAGTAAAACGAAAAATTGACCTGGTTGTGGGTTCGGGTTAACTGTGGTGATTTCTGGTAGAAAACTAGACCATTGGGGGGAAATCAACCACCAATACTACTTTGAATTTGGATGAATTTGGACAATTTCCCGGCGGGGCTTTGTGGGCTCGGATTAACTGGAGGGGGTTTATTAATCCTGACTTCACATTAGTCATCTATAGTCACTAAACTAAACAGTAGCCTATTACAGTCTACATTGTGCTGTTTCACTTCTTGCATTGCTAGCCACGAATACTATGCTCGACTTTGTGCACGTGCCAGACTCTTATCCTCTTGTGGAGTTTCGGCTGCAGAAGGTACTGGCGTCTTCGTGAAAGCGCTTGGCTGTCACGCGCACTCAGGCTGATGAGGGCGTATTGCTGCAGACCTGGTGGCATTGAGAACACTCAAATTAAAGCAAACGTGAAAAAAATCTGGGCAAATCAACTTGCAAAAAATAGTGTTTTCTTCGCAAAACTAACTGCTAAACAATGCAGCGGTACAATTTATTGAAAGCCTCGGTCAAGTCTTCAGTTGCGCGACCTTTGATGCATCATGATCCTGCAAACATGTGCGCTCAAAATGTTCATGCTGCAAAGAAGGTTGCGTGGCATAGCAGGCCTCTGGTGTTGCGCGGCTGCATGGTTTCACGTAACAGGTGGGCTGATGTAACAGCCCAACACTCTTTATTTCGATTGCTTGGCGCGGTATTCCACAAAATCCTGAGCTTCATGAGGGTTCAATGCTGCATATACCCCGACACACACACACACGGGAAATGCATATACGGAAACGACTTGCGGTTTGCCATTCACCAGCCGAAGTAAAAAACCTAGGAAGCCAGGGTGAAGAGGTACGAGTACGTATGTAAAGCGGTCTGAACAGGAAAGCCTCCAAAACCTCCAAAGCCTTGAACTCATACATCGCAAACACTGCAAAACTCATCAGAACTACATATCACAGTGCAACAGATGGGTCTTCGTTGGCTGGAGACATCTGAAGCACACTCCAGCCCCCCACTTAGTGTAGAAACTCTTAGAAACGGAGTGTGACACACTCACACACACAGACAGACACACCAAATAAAGCAATGTACCTAGGATCGAATTCAGGTAGCAATGCAGCGCTGTGCAGCCTTTGATGTTCAGGCTCAGAAAGACTCAAAGCTCTCTAATGGACTCCATGTCCGAGACTCAAGTTCCAAACCTTCCAACGAATGCCACAGTGCGCAACTGCAGACCAACCTGAAATCTAGAGTGGGACATAGCTATCAACATCCACAAACTCGAGCAAGTAAGTATGTCACGGTGATCAGCTGTGATATCAATAATGTACTGGTGCTTCGTTGGACCATCGCAGGCAGTACATGGATAGTCCCTCTGCGCCCTTCCACAACTCGGAAGAAACCTATGAGTCCAAGGTGTACAAACACTCTCTCTCACACACATATCCAACTCCTGTGGCTGACCAGCCGAGAGATTCCTCAAATAGATTGAAAACAACCTGGCAGGCCGTAGCTCAAATGCTGCACAAAAATGAATGGTGCATAGACAGCCATAGAAGGTTCAGCTTGAAAAGTTATAAAGAGACTTGAACATATTGCTAGATTTGAGGTGCTGCATTCCTTATTTTAAAGCATTCCAAGAAAGGAAGGTTGCCGATTTCCTGATGTTCTTTTGCTTTGCTGGCCTCTGTTTGTGACTGCAAGGAGGACCCTGCCTGTAAAAATCATCTTCCATAAATCTGGAGTCCTGGCCATGTTGACTGCTCGAAACAATTTAGAATCCTTCTCTTGGCGTCTGACGTCGCTGGCCTTGCCCATCTCTGCCATTGCCATCACAAGCAGCTTTTCTGAGCAGTGCCTGGCAAGTTGGCACAATCACCTCATTCCCTCAAGCTGGAAACCTCCATAACAAGCAGATCAGCAGCACCCCACTTGGGTCTGCTCGCAAACAGCACCGACTGCGTTCTTGAGATCTTGCCTGGGCAAATCATCAATGAACATACTTATAAAGGCGGCTTGTCTTTAAACCATTTTAAACCTGAATTGTGGTTGAACACGCTTACTTGCTGCGGCTGATTGAAGCTCCACATGACTCAGCACATGGTCGCTCTACCCTGAAGCTAGGGCCTGAGCCTATCTACTTCACCATTTTTCTGATACTGCCGGAATTCTTTCCTGCACACCTGCAACTTCACAGCTTGGAGCATTTGAGGTTGGCAATTCCAACGGCAATGTCTTCAATACATGCAGCTGCAACAACTATTGACACGTGTGGACCGTGTGGATCATACTGAATCATACTGCATACTGGTCACCAAAAGCTTTCACAAAGAGCATTCAATGCCCAAAGAAATGTCAAATGCAACTTTCATAATCATCATGGGTGCACAAACCATTTCTTGCAGTATAACTATGCACCTTTTCAGGGGAGTCTTGAGTTTCACAACGAACCCCCCAAAGATTGGTGTTGTTTTCAACGCTGAGCAGCATCAAACAGCCGTGATCGGCCTGCTCAAGCAGGTTGGGGTTGGCCAGCAGTGACATGGCCCAACGCTGCCGCGGCACTGTTGTATCCACACCGCGGGGCTTCTCGTACTCCTACAACCGAACAAAATGCCATAGACAAATACATCAAGACGGCAACTATGTACGTCTCATGTCTTACTTATTCCCTAGAAACAAAACCAAACAATCCTTCCAAAGCTCCACTTGATTCTTCTGGCGCAGCCTTTGGTGCCCCACCGGTCCTCCTCCTGATACTCGCGGCCTTACTGTACGCCATTTGTGATTCCGTCTTGGTTTCACGGAATGTGTTTCAACCTGACACCGCATGGCCGATGCATGGCCTGTACAGCTTAATGACCTCCAGAACCTGGAGCATGCTGGGAGGCCCCAACTCCCACAACATCTGATAGTCTTGCCGACAAATCCACCCATGGCGCCGATTCACCAGATTCTTCAGAGTAAAACTGCGAAGTTGGTTTGCTGTAACAAAAGGAGCGCTGAGCTGTGCCTGTCATATCGAATAATTATCATGAATATCCATGAATCATGAATGTTCAACATTTAGCATCATTGGCCATCATAGTCGCTTTCTGCTGATTGAGCATCCATCTCAATTTGATGACGTGCAGAAACTACAGGATCGATGTGACGATGTGTGCTTCAAGAAGTTGCAAATCTAATTATGCTTGCAACACTTCCAAGATCCTGCACCTTAGCTGCTCAGCATTCATCAGGCTCAAGTCGGGATGGATGGTCATCCTCGGCTGTTCGATTCACCGACCGATGTTCTTTGTCGGTTAATGGATGTCAATGGTCAGAGTTGCACTCTCCCGCCGAGCGTCGCCACCGATGATCTTCGTTCTGGCACGCAACAAACATATGCTATACAAGGCACGTGTTTATACACATGAAACACAGCTAGCAATGGGGAACAAACAAAAAACACCAGGCTCACGACGAGACTCGTTGGTGTCTGACATGAAATCAATGCTTTCACTTGCCAAGTTCATGCTTTCTGGTTAATCATGTCTATATAAATAGTGAAGGCGCATGGAGGAACTACTGTATGTATTTCCCCCAGCTGCACTCCTGCCATGTCTTTTTTGGGTGATTTCTTCGTGGTGCCGCTAGCTATGGTGCTAAGCTGGGTTGTGACGTGGGAGTTATCTTTTGTAACAGTGTTGTGTTTTTGTTGCTGTCTAGGTTCTTCTAACGTACCTATATGATATTTTTTTCGCTTGTTGAAGCGCGGAAGAAGTGAGTTGCTGAGAAAAGCGGCACATGGCCCTGCACTCCATGCTAGGGCCAAAAAACAACAAAAGACTCCTGTCCGGTAAATCATCGAGATGGGTGGTCCCTTGGGGACAATACTCCACAGACACGTGTGGACGACGTCTGACATGCCAGAGGCAGTCCCAAGCCAATCATGTCCAGGTGGAAAAAACAGACCAAGGAAAAGGAAATGGGGCGGACACAGCGAGGCATAAGCAACACTGGACAGGCCCACCAAAAGATAGAAAGGGAGCAAAAGCAGAGTGGTCAGAAAGGCCGGGTCACTGCGCTCCAGAAAGCTAAACAGGGCTCTCAGAAGGCTCGGCGAAGGGCGGCTGCGGATCAGTACACAAGCCTCTTGGAGCAAAGTGCTCCCAGACGCAGGACCAGCCGCACGGCTGATATGGTCAAGAGCCTTGATTGTTTCCGGCGCCCAAGCGCCTGTGGTTTCTGCCACCAAAGGAAGAAACTCCACATGCTGAGCAGCACAGGCTTGAGCAGTGTCAACGTGCTTCCTTTTGTGTACAGCGAAGCAGCCGAAGCACCGCCATGCGAGCCCAAGACGAGCGAGCAAGTCTGACTCGAACGGCCCTGACCGAATGCATCGGTCAGGAAGGGGAAAATTTCAAAAAAGAGAACTAGGCCGTTCATCAGCCTTATCCTTCCGGCGCCAACCCAGCCTGTCGCATCGTTGCAGGCCAGGGTCCCTGCCAGCCATGCATCCATGGCAGGAGAAAAAGCTCGTTGCGTGTACGAGCTTCGTACAAAACATTTCCATGATGGGTGAGAAACATCTGGATGTCGTCCGCCAAAGTCCTCTGGGTGTTCGGGTGTAGTCTGTTTGGCGTGATCTCCATCGATGCACAAGTCGTGCACCACTGGTAGACTCTCTCGTCCGAGGCTTGGTTGACCAGAATCCTGCAATCTGGCCTGAGGTGCCACGCTCGCCCTCTTGGGGCTATAAAAATCTCATCCCGGATCGGGCAGATGCGGGCATGTTCTGTCACTTCTCGTAGGGCTCGGTCGAGGATCGCTTTTGCGTCCGTCAAAGCGGATCGGGCTTCGGATTCCATGGCGATGCGCCTTTCGGCCTCCTCCTCTGGAGTCAGAGGCAGCACAACTCGCTGGTCGCGCAGAGCTCGAAGTTCTTCCAACTGGGCACGGGTGAAGCGGCAAACTCATCGAGTCCCTCGTGCCGGGCCTCAGTGTCGAGTCCTGTGTCCACGGACGGTGTTCCATCCATTGTTGGTTGTTGTGGATCTTGTGTGTTGGGTTGGTGTGGTTTGTTGCGTGTTTTGGTGTTTGTGAACTCGTGTTGACTGCTCCATCTGTTCTCCACCGTTTTCTTCTTGGCGGCCACGTGCTCAGGGTCCCAAGTGTATTTGATCGCTCCGCGTCGTAGGCGATCAGCCAGAAGTTGTCTGGCGGCCAGGTCTGCCTGGCTAATGTTGCTTTTTGCCTGGTGTAGTTTGGTCTTTTGATGTTGTTTTAAAATGATGTTGATGTCCAATATGTTGGAAAGTGTGTTTATGTTTGCAGGTTTCTGCTGTGAAAATGAAATTTGCCACTACTTTGGCACTGTCACATCAGAGTTACTGACCATCAACATGCAGAACAAAAACACATATCAACGCAATGTTCACAACATGTATGTACAGTAGGGTGTGTCGTGTATAGGGGTTAAACATTTGTCAACAAACAAATTGAGTTTGTCCACTGGATTCAAGGTGCTGGAAGAGTGCCACCATCAGGTTCAATTCGGTGCTGAAAGAGTGCCATCAAATTCTATTGGCTCTGGAAGAATGTCATCAAACTCAACTTGCCATCAGATTGACCATGAAAGATTGCCATCAATTCAATAACCCTTCAGAAAGGCAACCTAATTCATGTTTCAAAAATCACCTGGGAATGGGATTGAAAGTGCCACAACAGATTCAACTGTTTTTTCAACTGTTTGGAGTAACATGCAGAAGCTTACACGCAACTGGAAGTCATTTGCCGACTAGTGCCATCACTGATGAAAGAATGCAATCAATCTCAATAACGGCTTTGAAAGAGTGCCATCAGGCTGGTTTTAGCTGCCACTGGAAGAGTGCCATCTGCAATCAATTTGAACGTCTTCCTTGCAGTGTTTCAGGTCACATTTTTGTACTTGTTCACAGTACAAAACTAAAACTGGACACGTGTATCTATATGTGGGTATGTATGTATTTAAACAGTATGACAGTATGAGCATGCGCATTCAAACCTATTTGCATTATTTCAGCTGGCGCTGAAATATTCGGGGCTGAAAGAATACCCAGAAGCTTGACTGGGCGTGAACAAAGAGCCCATGATGCTCAATCAACACTGGAAGAGTGGATTCTGGATGGATTTAACACTGGATGGATTTGGAACAACACTGCTGACAAAGTATCGGCGGCGCTGGAAGAGTGCCTCTTGTGTTTTGCAGGCTTCTACGTTTGGGCTGGGCTTCATGTTCATGACACTCAGGATTTGGTGGATACAGTGACTCTCAGTATTTTTGGACAGTGAGTATTCTTTGTTTGTGTCAGTGTTTGTTCAATTCTTTGCTCCAGGTATTGCTGCGGGCCTTGTCTCGCCATGGGCCTCAATCAAATCCTTGACGTTGCTTGCAGCCTTTAGTATTGGTGCTGGAAGAGTACCAAATACACTTCCCCCAACAACGGTGCTGGAAGAGTACCAAATACACTTCCCCCAACCACGGTGCTGGAAGAGTACCAAACCAACTTCCCCCAACAATGGCGCTGGACGAGTACCAATGTTTGATGTTTGCATGGTACTCTTCCGTCCCAAAGTAATTTTCTCCAATGGTGCTGGAAGAGTACCACCACATGTTTAAAAGACCCTTGACATTTGCTTGTGCACAGTGTGTTGAATGCAGAGATGTCGGAGAATGTGAGCTGCTCCATTTCAGGTCATAGATATGTTATGTGCACCAGCCGGTTGGCTTCATTCTAAAAGGCCAGGAGCCTAATCTGGTTTGTGACTTCACCGGTGTTGCAAGCAAAATTGTCTCAAGACAGTTTATTGGCGCCCTTGCTATGTTGTGAATTGCTGCTTACTGCAGTCATGAAGGCCCTCACAGTTGAAGGTCAGTCTCGTGAATAATGTGAGCGGTTCAGCTTCGGAAACATAGCACAAATGATTGCCCAGGTGCTTTCCCTGGTCACTGATAAGCTGCTAGGCAAGCCAAGTCAAGAGCAATGGAGAGCCTTCCATCAGATCTTGAAGCGATGAGCCTTCCATCAGATGCTGGAAGTCCATCCGATCTTGAACCTGTCCCCTTCCAGGGGAATCTCAGTGCTGTGAGGCAGACTGTTTGGATCGAATCGCCAGCATGCCTGACTATACTTTGAAAGCAGATGAGATACGCCCAGCTATAAAAGAAGAGACTGGGTTGGAGAAGCGCAATGAGTTCCAGTTCCAAGTGCTGAGGAATTGGACGCAGTCTGGCAACTCAGAAAAAACCAGTTGCCATCGGCGATACAAGTTTAGTTTGGTGATCTTCTGATTTGTCGTTTGGCAGCTGCTGAGCTTCTGCAATGCAGCAAGGGCAGAGTGACCACGCTGACCCAGCAGATTTTGGATGGGCAAGCAAATGCATCGCGAGACTTGCGACTTGGAGGTGGTCAAGTTAGGATGACAAAGACAGTGTCAATTCAAGTCCAGCATGCTGAGACTATGTGGTGCTGGGTTCATAGCTTTTTGGCAGAGCCGCTTGCTGAGGGTGTGGGCAAGCAAAAGTTTGACGTGTCTGCAAAGGTGAAGGAGCTTCTCAAGATGGACCCTTTTTCAGAGGTGTTCAGTACTTCCCAGCTGGAGCCCAAGCACCTGCACCCGAACGTCACATTGACAGAGCTGCTGCTTGTCCTGTCTTGTTTAAAATTTGAACAGGTTGGGTCATGTCTTTACTGCTAGGTCTTCTGTCTATGCTCCCTGAACATTTTTTCTACTTCTTCACGGTCTGAAGCTGCCCTTTGGATCAGTCAGGCTAGATGTTAGCAAGAACTTCCTGTCGCACTTGCAACCGCCACCATCCTACCGGACTTGGGTGCGAATCTACCATCGATCTTGGGAAAAGACGCTTCGCTTCCGGGGTGAATCTCAGCACAGCAAGTGCCGAGTGTGCGAAGACATGAAAGAGCACAAACGCCAAGCGTCAACGCTGAGCGATTCCAACATGATTGCCGAGGCCTATTGCCAACACTTGAACTTGATGATTCAAGACCGGAAGGCCGATGCGTTTTGGCGCCAGATTGCCTTTGACAGTGTGAAGAGTGGTATTACCTTCCTACATGAAGGGGTCACTACTTGGCTGAGTTTCACGATCGATGGCATGGACTGTGCCAAATTTAAAGTACCGTTGAACATCAGCAAGTCCAAGCTCTTTCATGGTATGGCTCGCCCAGAACTGAAGTTGAGCCTGGTCGTCCCTTTGCTTGAGCTATGGCAGTAGATACTTGTGTTTAGGGGGCAGTTGGACCAACAGTTGGACACGTTGTTTCTTTTCTTGGGGATTGTAGTGATCTCAGGTGATTGATGGGCTGCTGGAGTTTTATTGCCTGATGGATGAAGACATTGCCACCACAGCCAATCTTGACTTGTCTTTGATCACTGGCGCATTGCTGCAGAGCTACAAGCGTGTGAATCAAGACGGCCTTCAGTTCCGCAAGGGGCACAGGGTTCACGCAGACAATTGCACATCAGAGACCAAGAACCAAGTTGCATTCAAGATGGGAGCATTCGTGCTCCACTTGGAGTTGTTTGAAGTTGTTGTCTGGACATATTTCCAAACAGGACACTCACATGGACTTCCAGACCAACGATTTAGTGAGGTCAGGCACCTGCTGTTTCAGGAGGCGACCCTGCAGACACCTGAAGACTTCGTGAAAGTGCTCGAGAAGGTCGATCCCAGGCAACAGCGTGCTCTAGCCATCCAAAGGACTGCCTGCGTGCATTGAAGATTGGAAAAGCTTCTTGGAGCCTCTGGAAATTAGCTTGCGCAATCACACGACCACCCGCAAAATGAAGCAGGCTAAGCAACATGCGCGCCACTATTTTTTGATGACCACCCGGGCAAAGTATGCAGAGTTTGGAGATGTGTCCATGGTTGAGAACTTCGAAGGAGAGCTGCCCCACCCAAAGGACATCGTTCTCGTTCTCAAATCCCACATGTCCTCAGATGACATCTCCCAGGCACCATTTGTGTTTCTTCCACGTTCAGCCTTGCAGAAATTGACCGGTTTCCCAGAGTACACGGTTCCACGAAAGAGCATGGCCACTCAGACAAAAAAGGACCTGAACAAGACCATCGAAAAGATCACCCAGCCTCCATGGTGTATGAATGACGCTGCACAGTACTTGAAGAAGCTGATTCAGCAAGAGGGCACACAAAGGCTCAAAGTGTTAAAGTATGTTAAAAACTGATTTCAATGCATGGAAGCTTTTGTTAAAATTCATCTATTGCCAGGAGTCGGACATGGACTTTTGGAAGACAGAGCCGGCAAAAGTAGAGGCAAAGAGAGCTGCAGGGAAGAGATCTGCAGCAAAGTCGATGCCAAAGGCAGCGGCTGTGGCCCAGACAGATGCAGAGGTTGCACTTCCAAGTGGCAGTGAAGGACATTGTGAACTTGAGTGTGATGCTGGCTTTGGCGCATCTTTGCCAAGCCCAGCTGGTAGCGACTATGATGATGCTGGACCGCGGCAAGCTCTGAAAAGGCCTGCAGCCTCTGAAACTGCAGATGCACCAGTCTTGAAAAGGCCAAGTGCTCTACGAGCTTTCAAGCGCCCTGCGGCTTCAGCAGCTCCAGCTCCAAACGTTGCCGTGGCTGCCAATGAGGCGCCAGCACCAGTGGTGGCTGGTGAGGTTCGTGATGGTGAGGTTGTGAATCTTCGTGGGAATTTGAAGGCGCTGCTCCCCCAAGATGTGGCTCTGTGCAGAAATTCCAGGGTGGGATGTCAGACTTGCAGAGTTGCCAAAGGACTTCGGCTGATCGGTGGTTTCTGGGACTGTTTTTAATGTCAAGCATTTTGTCATGTGTCCGTCATTGGGGTTGGTGAAAATGAGAAAACCTTTTGGCTCGGTAGTGGACCTCCACTATTTAAATTTGGATGTGTGACATCCATTCTGATCTGAGATACTTGGAGACTTCCGTGACCAGTGGATGATTGGACAGCTTCTTCCTCCTCCATGCAAAGAGCAATGACAACAAGTCGAGTCAAGACTGTGAGCTGACAGATCGCGCTTCAAACAAACGTTGATCGTGGCGCACAGTGAAAAATGTCAGGCTGATCTCACACGCGCTGCAAGAGTATATGCTTCGAACTTCAAGTTCAAGTAATTACAGGTGTCATGCTTCATATTTCCAAACAACTTGGTGCTGTAAGAGTACCGGTGTCCAGTCTATTTAACGGGTGCTGTAAGAGTACCGGTGTCCAGTCTATTTAACGGGTGCTGCAAGAGTACCCTTTTAAGTCTTTTGTCTAAGCTGGCGCTGCTGCAACTGCAAGTGAGTACTGTGTTTAACATGTTTCTCGGTCAATCTGTGCTGTAAGAGTACAGGTCACCTTGGGTCAATTTTTGGTGCTAAGGGTGAGCCGTGAACTTGCTGAGGGGTGGCGGGCTTGTCAAGACATGGAATTGCTCGTTCAGTGTAACAGCACTTCCAAAAGCAAACTGCCTGTGAGTATTTTTGTCAGGCTTCAAAAAGCTGGACCTATGCCAGTCCTTTGGGCGCGCCCTTTAGAATTGATAACTCAGAAATTCAAAGATTGAAATTGCAAAAGCTCTGCGAATGTTTGACACATTGAATCTATCAACTTTGCGGATTCGTGGCCTAAGCAAGTTGCCATCGGCGTGCCAGCTGTGCATTCATTGCTCTTGCACTTTGATGATGTGGTCATGGTGACTGGCAGCGATGAGGAGTCCAGCTCTGATGTGGAGTTGGTTGGAGATTGTACACCTGGGCATGGACACCAGGAGGAGTACTTTCACTTTATTATGGAGCTGTACAGCCCATTCCGTGTAGCTGCTAGCATCCACCGGTTGGGAATGAGGTCTGCCGCAAGCCTTGATGTTTTGACTGGATGTGATCTTCTTTCTGCTGAAGGAAGGATGGAAGCTTTGGCATTGCTGACCCAAAAGCGTCCACTTTTCCCCATGTGCAGCCCACCGTGCACGATGTACAGTGAGCTCACTAGAATGTGGAACGCCAAGAAGATGACCTATGAACAACGTGCTCTTCGACAGCGTGAAGCTGACTCCATGCTGAAATTTGCAATGGAGATGTGCAGGCTCCAGGGCCAAGCTGGTAGATTCTGGTGCCACGAGCACCCTCACAAAGCTTCCTCATGGAAGCATGACATCGCAGCTTTATTTTGTAATTCAGCACATTTTCTATCTTCGCACGGTTTGGGTTTGGAAGGGCGTGCAACCATCATAAATGGAAGATGCATTGTGGGAAGTTGCGAGAAGCAGGATAGGAAAAATACTCCCCCAGAGTCACACCACAACAAACATTGCTTCAATCATTGATGTGGGAATCAGAAACCTTGTGGAAATTCATGATCTTTTTCCAAATTGGAATGATTCTGCTGGAGGTGAATCAGCTTGCCAGTGACCCGGGCACGAAGTTTGTGTCATTTGACCAGAACCTGGACCGCAATTCATTATCACATACGTATCTTGGTGCTGTGTCATTTCATTTTTGGCACTGCGAGAGTGCTACTTCAATACTGTAGAGCTGGAATAGTTCCGTGTTGGCGCTGGAAGAGTGCCATATGACTTGGCGCTGGAAGAGTGCTACACGACTACATGAATTTGATGGTGCTGGAAGAGTGCCAAGTTGAGCTCTTTCTTGATCAGTTCAATGTATATAATGTTAAGAAGTGCAGGAGCCACACCGCCACAGACTGACAGACTTTTTTCACAGCTGAACCTAGGTGTGTCACAGGGCTGGCAGCCCCCGGCTCCACTTCCGACAAGCACCCAATCAAGAAGAGAACTACATTGATGACAAACTCTGAATGTGTAGTCAGGACTTTTGAAGGTTTGCAGTGCCAGTGTGAAGTCCCACACTTTCACGTGCAGGGCAATTTTAATGGAGTTCAGGTTTCCAAGCGCTGCCAGATCTACACTCTAGGCCTTTGCCAGAAATTGGCTGAAGCTGTCTTCAAGGAGGCCCAGCGGTTGGAAGTCATCTAAGCTGCTGCTGGCTGACAGCCTGCTAATTACAATCTAAATTTGCAGCCAGCAGAATTGCGAGACAGAAAGGCTCAAAACCGAGCGAAGTGGGGCGCAGGATTTCATCAGGGTGACTTAGCCTGGTTTCATCTGAAACCGAGCGAAGTTGGGGGGGTGGCATTGAATCCGAGCTAAGTGGGGCGCAGGATTTCATCAGGGTGACTTAGCCTGGAATGGCCACAACCCCTGGACTTAGCCTGGTTTCATCTGAAACCGAGCGAAGTAGGGCGCAGGATTTCATCTGGGTGGCTTAGCCTGGATTGGGATCTTTGTGAATTGAAACTTCATCAGTTGTGATTTCAGCATGGCTTTTGATTCTTTTTGAATTTTGGCAATGCTTTTGGGCTTCTCAAGCTCTTGCAGGGCCTGATGGATCACGCCTCAATGATGGCAGCGCCTGTCACCCCGTCAATGTCCTTGGAAACCATGCTGGACCAGTCGATGGACTCAGAGCCACCTGGCCTGGTCTTGAAGTCCAACGTGAAGGAAGATGTGGAAGATGTGAAGGATGTGAAAATGGAAGATTCTATCACCCTCAAAGGTCGAGACAAGACCTATTTGGATGAGCTAGGAGCGCTGGAGGCAGCTGTGAGAGATGCAGGTACTTCAGACTTCAAGCCAGCTTTTTATGCCTTGGGCAAATTTGTCTTGACCAAATGGAATGGCGCCCGCAACTTCCTGGAGGAGATCCTGCCGATGGGCAGGGCGGCTGAATTTGTGAGTGAATTGCACAGCATGTTTCCAAAGAGTGATGCCATTTGCTATGCGACAGAGCTTCCTGGAAATGATTCAGATGAATTCAACTTACATTTGTCGGATCTGAGCTGGTTTGCAGATTCTTCAACGAAGCCAGCCCCATACCTTCACACTTGCCTGCAGCTCTGGGATGAGATCACAATGAATGGTTTCATTACAAAAGGTGCCTCACTTGAATTGTGGATTTGAAGGGGCACAATGTTGGTTTAAGATGGTTTAACCCTAAGCTGCCATGGGTTTTTTTGAACTTCAACATGCAGATTTGAGGTGATCCACTTCTCTTGTGGAATGGACCTGAATGCAGGCGGGACTTTGCTTGGGCGCACTACTTGAAAGGGGCTGCAAGAGGTACAATGGCAGTGTTCACGGCCTTGCTTGTTGTGAGTTTTCGTAACTGGGTTGCGAGTTTATTCCTGTGCATTTTTTGACTTATGTCATACATATGAAATAACCTAAATATACTAACATAATATACACAGTGTTTTTGTTGAAGCAATGTCAAGATTAAGGCATCAAACTGCATATCCTGCACCGTGAGCTCTATGACAGCCTGGCATCCATCCGTTGCCGCCGTGGTTCCATGTCACATGACTTGATGAGAGTTGCCTTCACCAATGCAAAACTCAGTAGCAGGGGGGCCATCAGAAAGTCTCATGATGTGGCATGCTGGCTTGCAAAGATTAGCATGCTTTGTGAGTGGGGAATGAAGGCTGACAGCGCCATCAAATCATGGAATAGTGAGGCAACGCGTGAAAGTCAGTTGACAGGACAGAAGAGAGTAGCTTTGCTGGCCTTGCTGCAAGCACCAGCAGGGACAAAGGAACTCCTGCTGGCACACTCCAGCTTCTTTGGATCTTCATCAGCGTTCAGTGAGGAGTGCTTTGCAGCCAAAAATCTATTCCCGGGCTATACGCCCAGATCCATCCTGGACAAGCAATGGCGTTCCCGCCTCACGATGACTGAGGCAGGTTTCTTGCTCTTCTTGCGCTACACAGATGCCAGTCATCACCAGAAGTTGGTTCAAACCCGTGGCAAGCTCAGCAAAGAGAGGATTTCAGAGCTATGCCAACTTGCCCAGCTAGTGGTGTCGGTTGAGGCAGAGTTGCAGGAGGGAGGGGTGATCACCAGCAGGGTGACAGAAGCTTTGTTGGCATGCGATGGCAATTTGGAGCTAGAGCTTCAGGTGGCTTTGAGTGAAAAGAGCCCCAAGTGGAAACCTGCTGATTTGGGCCTAGTCCAGGAAGTTCTCAAAGAGCATTCCGCTACTTCAGATGCCAAGTTCTTTGTGGAGAAACGTGTGGTGGCAGCTGGAGAGCTTGAGCGGGAGGAGTTTGACTTGATGAAGAAGATGTTTGAGTATCTTGGGATTGTTTAAGAATTGAACTTTTTCAGCTGGCCTTTTTGGTGATTGCATGGCATCGCAACAAGTGTGAGTATACTCAGACCGTCTCAAACCTGAAGGCATGATATCAAAGCCTTTGAGAACTGGAAGGTCCGTTGCCGCGACAGAGATTCTGCAATCTACCACGCGTCATTGCAGCACAAGGTGCAGCGTCAGTCTGAGGCCCAAAAGCAGGCCCAAAGTTTGTTTGATATTTCATCGGGGCATTGGATCGCATCTTTGGAGATCCTTGGCACAGCCAACGAGGTTTTGCAGCGAGTCAAGGCCGCACTTGGCAAGATTCAGACAAGCTTTCAACTGCGGCAAGAGGAGATCTATGTTCTGGCGGTCTGCAGCTGGAGCTCTCCGAGCTTGGTTAGCTCTGCTGCTCAGAAAGCCCAAGCCACAGCAATTGGGGCACTTGGCAACGATGCTGGTTCCAATGGGCGCGTGATTGGGTGTGTTTTGGAACCATGCCATACATACAACAAGGGACAACTTTGGAAGCAGGAAGAGTTGCTGCACAAGATGCTTGTGAACAACCGGCGCAATATCGACAATCGCTTCGTGCTTCCGTTTATTGAACGGTAAGACGACCGTGACCAAAGGCCAGCATGACTTGAACATTGAATGCACTTTTGTTTGAACAATTGCTGCCATTGCCTTTAAATTATATGTACACATATACCAAGGTGCGTTGTCCCACATCATCAGCTTCTTTTGGAAATTGATGGTCAAACCCAAATTCTCCAAGACAGGTCTGCCCATCAACATTGTTGTTTCGCCAGGGATCAAAAATCCGGTGATGTATCCGTAGGCGTGATTGAAGAACACCGGGACTCGTGCTTGCCAGCGACATGTCTATATGATCTCCTCCAAAATGGAAAACTCGCTAGATCCGAGTGAGCTGCATGCTGTCTGTATCGTACTGGAGGCCTTTGAGGTGCTCAACATAGCGATGAAAAGGACCTGTACCCATGAGGTATGCTGAGGCTCCAGGATCGATCATGGTGGCATCCACTCGCTGTCGTCCCTGTTGGTCTTCAAAGATCACGCGTCCAGCTTCATCCATCGGAGTTGAAGAAGCTGCCATCCCTTCTGTGTGTTGTCGTTTCGAAGGAGAGGATGGCGATGAAGTACCACCTGAAGTCTTTGACTGTTTGGGACATTTCGCAGCCATGTGACCAGATCCTCCGCAGCGAAGGCACTGAATTGCTGCTGTTGATCGAGCACGAGGATCAGGAGCTTTTCCACCGGGACATGGTGGATAGCGAACTGTGCTGGAGTTCGATTTCCCTTTCTTGCCGCCCTTGCCCTTGCGAGGTCCCTTGCCCTTTGATGGCGAGCGAGTTGGTGATGTAGATTGCGATGCGTTGTCACCCTGCAAGGCAACAATGGGAAGATAGCCACGACTCAGCTTGAGATCAGCAAAACGTCTCCGAGCATCGAGGTAGGTGGCGTAGGCTGAGTCGTACTCATCAACGTCCCAATCAGCTGAGGCGGCAACGAATCCTTCCTCTTCTTCAGGGTCGTCGGCCTGGAAGTAGCCGGCATCGAGGTCAAAGGTTGAGTCATCTTCCTGCCAGGATTCGACGGGGACTTGATCGTAGTCGTACTGGTCGTCAAGCTCCTCTTCGTAGAAGGCATCCTTCCAACTTTCATCAACCACATAGTAGGCGCGTTGCCCTTTTCCACGGCCAAACGGTCGCTTGTCAGTGATGACAGCGGCCTTGTGATCTTGTCCAAGGATCAGGTACAGCGCCTCCTGAACCTTTTGGCGTTACCAGGAGCTTGAGTGAGGATCATCTGGCGCTGCTCCTTGGTGACGTTGGCCTTTTTGAGGAGGAACCATCTAAGAACCTGCGACGGCAACTTGACACCATGAGCTTGCACCTTACGGAACTTCTCATCAAACTCGGTGCAAAACTGGAGCATTGTGGTACCTGGCTTCCTGACTCCATGGGTGAAGAAGTTCTCGAAGTCTTGAGGCATCTGTACCCTGTTGTCGTAGGCGAATGCCTTGTCAAGGAGCTCAAGGATGGTGTCAAAGGCTGTCTCCTTTTCGACATTCTTCAGGTCGAAGTCCTCCACCACTTTCCAAGCTGCTCCCTGCAGACTGCCAATCAGGTTGAGGCAGCATTCTCCAGTTCGTTTCTGGAGCTTCATCTTGAGGTAGTAGATGTTGATGCGCTTTCTCCATTCAACGTACGATTGAGGTTGGCCATCGAACTGGGGAATGTAGTTGTCCCTCAAACTGGTTGTATCCAGGCTCGTTGATGCCTGGGCAGTGGCCATGTTGGCCTGGGTGCCAGGATCTGTCGATCCACTGGTGCTGGGGCCTGTCGACCCGATGTCGTTAGGGTCTGTCGACCCGATGGAGCAGTTTGTTGTGGTTTGTAGTGAGGTGTGATGCTGTTGCTGTGGTGTTGTGAGTTGAGAGGTTGTAGTGAAAAAGGTGCCTGGAGATGACCCGGTTAGGTCAGAGCTCCGCTACCATGCAAATGCTATGGTAGCACGAAGTGCGGACGCACGAGGTTCCGACTCGACGAACGGAAGTCGCACACGAAGTCGACCTTTTCGCAACCACGGCCGAACGGTGAAGCCCACCCACCTTGCTTGAGGCGAGCGAGCAAGTCTGACTCGAACGGCCCTGACCGAATGCATGGAGTGCAATTCACACTTGCCATTGTTGTGATTATGATTGTGACTGACTGTTATTTACGATGACGTGTCCTTTGATTGATGGCGGACAGTCGATTGCGCTGATAGACCGAATATAAGATTTTGACTATTGACAGGTCTAAGTTTTAAGTGCTGGGACTCCAGTGGAAGAAAGCCTCTGAAGCAGAGTAAGAGTGAAAAACCTCCAGTGCAAACCTGCACCATCAATGACTATCAAATGAAGCACCCGTGCACAATCTTCCGGTCTGGTCTGTGCGGGTGATTTACACATGTCTTATCACAAACACATGAAAGTGTCGCTGGATCAGGTCAGCATACAAAGCAACGAACATGTTAGAAATCTTCATGGCCGCCCGTCAAAGGGGTGCCCGTATCTTGAGCTTACACTCTTTGTACGTCCCTTTTTCTGCTTGTCCTTTCTTCCGAACCCTCCGCAGTGGCGTTATAGAAATTTGACGTTGTGCCCGTGTGATTAAGCGCAACGGACAACGCTACACGGCCACCTTCTTACAGCTGTGACAGTCCGATTTGTGCCAGCCTTGACAGTCTGGGTGGTCAACTTTGCATTCAGTTGGATGTTTGTGCTGCAGATTCTGCACAGCCTTGTGCTCCAAACTTTAAGATATACTTTACCACCAATCGCGCTCTCTGGTGACTTGGCGCATGACAGCAGGGATGAACATGGCATGTGCCTCCTTAAGTTCTGAAGAATGCTTCCTCTCCATGTTCAACAACAACTCTTCCTGTGATTCTTGAGAGCTGAATTGCATTTTGTGAGCTATGGCGGCATGGATCACGCACATCACCTCTTGCGTGCCTTGGTATCGGGGCTGAGGAGTAGCACCAGCACCAGCAACAGGGCGAATTTCCGGACCACCCCGATACCTCAAATCTCAGCGGTCTCACACCTCACCCCCTGAAAGCAGAGTGAAACTGAAGACAAACTAGCGTACAGCTTTTAAGCACTTATTAAGCTACATATGTATGCACAAACACAATCTTTGAGCGCCTAAATGAATGTACAGCTTTACAATACATATACTTCTCGGCTCCTCTACCGCGTGATTGCTTCAAGGCACTTCGTCTTGGACAAGTACACTCCAATGGCTCGACACCTTGACCGCAAGATTAGACATCACATGCATCACATTCATGAAAACCAAGTAGAGAACTCAAGGCTTGCATAATTGTCCAGAATTGTTCAGGTTTTTCCGAGGTGTCTTTCAATGTACAGTACAGGGCAAGAAAAAGAATGCGGTCTCTGTCTGTTCGGTGTACCTGCTGCTGATATGACATTTCAATTGGTTTATATAGTTCTGAACGCAAGCGTAACAGCTCCTGGTTGGAGGCTACGTTCTTGGGCCAAGTACCACATCGCCAACGGCACCATTGGCACACTGACCTTCATATAGTGCGAACCACTCTAAATAAATATATTGCAAAGCAACCTGCTGCTGTACCCGCAACATGTAGGATTTCGCAATTTAGAAGCCTCCACAATTCTGATCAGGCTAACACTTGTCGTCCTCCTTTCATGAGAAAAGAAAAAGCAAACGAGGAAGGAACAGGCTCAGAGATTCTACTAGTTTTCTCGGCCACTGGGGTCAGTCTCATGTCTCATCCGCTCCCAAGTTCCAGGCGGTTTTGATGAGCTCTTCGTCAAAGTGCGGATGGGCCAATTTGTCGCGCTGCGATCGAGGCAAAGCAATTGAGAATATGCAACGCATGTCAGACGAGCACATCCCCTCATGTCCTAGATTCACAAAACATGTTTGAAGCGTTATTTTTCACAGGAGATGCTATTGGGTTTGTGGATGGAACGAAGCTGCTTTCAACCGCAAAAGGATTCAAGTCGCAAGTGACGCCTAAGAAAAAAAATAGGCAGGCAAAATACACAAACAATTTCATGAACAGAATCTGAAATGTGACCAATTTGACATATACAATTGGACCATGCGAAGTTACCTCTCTCTCTCTCTGTCATCAGTGCCCCGCCAGCTTCTTGAATTGCTCCTTGGAGACACTCCGCTGGAAGTCCAGCCTCAACAGCTTGGGCTTTAGTCTGTGCTCTCCTAATGCATCAATGTGACTGAATTCAAATTGGTCATGAGCTGCCTTTGAAGAACTCTTTCGGTTTCACGTAGTGTATTGACGGCTAAGGTTCCCTGGCCGTTGAAGCTTGTCAAAGAATTGGGGTTTGCTGATCATCTGCTTGAGCCGGTCCCACCTAAGAGGTCAGCTGACCGCGGATGCAAGCGGACGCAGGGTGTCAAAGGCCAACCAACCAACCAATCAACATGTTTATAGGAATTCTATATATGGAGAAAAACATGTTTGTTCACCTCTATGTATTGCCTGGTGTCCCTAGGCAAAACTTATGCACCAGAAAATACAGCATCATCAGCCCTGCCTGTTTTCGGATTGAGCAAGAAGTATTGACACTGCCTGGCGGAAAGGGCGGCGTCACACAAAGGGAATTCGCAGCCTGTAATCGTCCATGAATAGGGAAACAACATGAAGCAAACTAGCTGGCTTGAATGCAGGAGGCACGGTTTCAAAAAGGAAGCATGTGAAAGTCCAGCGCATGAAACTGCAAGGTGCTCGCATCAAAGCCTCCAGGACGTCCTTCACCACCGGTGCAGGCCTGTTCGTGTTCTTCACGTCCTGGACAAACAACTGAAACATGGCTTGCTTGGCATTCTTCACACTCAGAGCAACTCCGACAAACCATGTTCAATGTGTCAAATTGTGGCCTGTAGGCTATCACGGGTGACGGACGAGGCACACCATCTCAGTCACAAAGGAATCAGCAGCAAAGGGTCAGCATGTCAATCTAGTGCAAGATATTGTGTAAGTTTGTGCTACACAAATGACACACGACTCCGACAATGTTGTTTGACCTCACAAAC